GACCACCAAGGAAGACTCTGCAGAGGAAGGCAATTGTCACGGCGGCGGCTGAACCCGAGCACTTGGCCCCAGCAGAAGATCAAAGGACTGCTGGGGATGAGCATTTGGCTCCCGGCTCCTGACAACCTCGGGAAAGGCAGGCGGCAGGGCTCCGGAGGCCTTCCCCGGGCTCTGCGCCTTGGCGCGGGCGCGGGGGGGGGAACTCTGCAACTTTCTTGGCTGCTTCTTGTTCCTCGTGGCCCATGGCTGCTGGGAGCAGGGGGCGGGGCTTGTTGCATGTTCCCATCCCCTGGGCTGTTTACTGCCGGAGCTCCACTCCTGTGCGCTCCTGCAGGAAATGACCCCTGATGAAGACAGTTTAAAAAATCCCGGATCAGCCAAAACTCAGGGCGGTCTAGCACTTGCGTGAAAGAATCCAAGGAGGCCAGGGGAGCACAGAAGTCCATATCAAATCCATCAACCTGCGGTCTGACTTTGTGCACTCCGGCTCTGTGGCGTCTAGCTGTACGGACTTAGCGAACAAACAGTATTCCTTGGGTGGTCTTAGCAAGATCTACGGAGGGCCCAAGACGTTGCTGGTGGTCTTATAGGCCAAAAGCAGCCCTTTGAACAGCGTCTGGAACAGGAAGGCAGCCGGAGAGACTAGAAAACTGGTTTCCACAACCTCGTGAGTAAAGGCCAGATTGTATATTCTGTGAGAGATCTAGGACTGGATTGCCCCACACAGGGCTCACCGCGGCTTTCTCTCTGTGTGTGGTATAATTTAGATCGGGGAAACAGTGAGAGTCCAAGAAGATATTTCCGAGATAAGGTGTGTTTTGGCCCACATATTGCCCCACATATTGTCTATTGTGGGGCACCAATAACCTAAATACAAATAATTTTTTAAAAAAACCTTATTTCCAGTTTGCAAAGTTCCCCTGCTTGGTCACCTAGAGGGGATCGCGACTCACCCCAGGCGACTAAAGGTGACTCACCTGAGCCAGCCTTGGCTGGGAGGGAAGGGTAGAAATCTGATTAATAACAACAACAACAACAACAATAATAATAAAGGACAGTGTAAGTAACATAAATACAAATAATTTAAAAAACTCATTTCCAGTTTGCAGAGTTTCCCTGCTTAGTTACCTGGCGGGGATCGTGACTCACCGCGGGCGACTAAAGGACCGAGTACAGACATGGGGGCCGAGTGCTGCGGGGATGCATTCCCATAGAAACCTGCACAGCAAAAGCTTGCAGACAGCCACCAAGGGCAGCCCCACGCAGAGCACTTGAGTCCGTCAGTTGTCGCCTGCTCCAAAAACAAAAATTCCGCTGCCTTGGCTTTTGTATGGCCCCTCGTGTTTCGGAGCGCCGACAACGTTCTGCCAAGTTCTCTTGGCCACCAGAAGGGAGCTGCGGTGAGTCAGTAGCTGTTCTGGGGGCTCGGAACCGCCCGCTTGGCATCGGGGAAACCCCCTGCCCGGTCTTCGGTCTTCATCCTGACGGGGAGGTACCAGCAGGATTTGCCGCCCAGGGGAGTCCGGTGCAAGACGGCCACCTTGGGGGGAGCTTTCTCTTTGGGATGGCCTGGGAGGTTGGGGGCCATGTCCTTTTGGTGGTTGGTGCTGCCGCTGCTCCGGCTGCGCCAGGACATCCAGGTACCACGGCTTTGGCCCCGTTTCTTCAGCAGGCTGGCAGCCAGCTGGCACGTCTGCCACTTCCGCTGGATCTCGGATTGGACCTGGAGAAAGAGTGAGAGTGAGGGTGTGAGGTCCTTGCTTATTGGGGAGACTGTTTCTCCTTTAATTCACACTCTATGTACATGGAGTTGGTAGATTTCTGCTGCCACCAGAAATTAAAAATTTCGAATGTCTCTATTTTGGTAGAATGACCCAGGGTCTGGACATTTCAGAGGACTAGGTGGCCCTGAGGAAGGATTGTTCTGATTGCTGGGATACGTTTAAACCAATAATGATTTATTTATAAAAGAACAAAATAGGTTTCTGGGTATTTTTGAACTGATGCTGAAGAAATTAAATATAACTAACAAAGCTTGGCGTCACACACAGTCTCTCAAACTCCCCAAACTCCACTCTGACAGCCTTAGACACTCAGTCTAATCTCTCTCTCTCATATATAGCCACACAGGCTAAACTCTCTGTCTTAGGCACACAAGATAAACCATTTGTCTTATCCACACAGGATAGACTCAACTTGCTTCTTCTGCCATACAGACTCTCTCACCAAACTCTTCACACTTGTCTCTCCAAAGACACACACACAGAACAAAATATGAAATAATTACAGAGGGAAAGAAAGTCAGGAGCAGCGATGGAGGGGGCGGACTGGGGCAAGGTCCACCACAGTGGCGTTTTCTGTCTCTGCCTTTCGCCCCAGAGGCCAGTGACCCAAGCAGGTGTACCAGACAGGTAGGCCAGGCGGTAGGGATGTGATACAAATTCATGGAGGACAGCCATCCTGGCAAAGAGCCATTGATTAATCTCATTGGAACCTCCATGTCCAGAGGCAGTGTACCTCTGCATACCAGTTGCTGGGGGTGACATCCCCCCTCAGCCTTTCCTTGTAGGGCTCCTTGGTCTCCAGGTCCCTGATCATCCTCGTTGCCAGGGGTCATTTCCTGTGGGAGCGTACAGGAGCGGAGATCTGGCAGTAAGGAGCCCAGGGGGCGGGCACATGCAACAAACCCCACCCCCTGCTCCCAGCAGCCCTCAGTCAGGCCATGAGGAGCAAGAAGCAGCCAGGTAGTTTGCAGAGCCCCCCCCTTCAGGTACAAGCTCTTCCTACTAAGTGAGGGCAAATCTGTGTGTTCCCCCCCCCCATAGCTAGCAATCCAAAACAGTCCAGTGGCACCTTTAAGGCCAAGGTTTATTCAGGTACAAGCTCTCCCTCCTC